CCCTCCTCTAGGCCCCTGACTCTTTCTGCAGCCTTTATACTGCTTCTCCTTGGCTCATTCTTACTGCTGTCTTTCAGCCACACCCCTGATCTTATGGTAGGTCAGATCCAACACCTAGCCTTCTCGGACAAGAGCAAAAAATCCCCGAAGTCCCTTGTGCGAGTCACGTACGTTAAAGATCCCTCGGTGGTCCAAAATCGATAAGAGTAGCCTTCGGCCGCCACCCGGGCAAAGTTCAAAATGTCCTACCAACTGAAGCTGTTCAGTGTGTCCCGCGCGCCCATGAGACCTTATGCAGTTGTGAACGCGCGTAAATAAAAGCAACAAAAAAAAAACCCAAAACCAACAAAAAACCAACAATGAGACCTACAATATTTGGCATATTATTGCGTTTCGTTATGTACTGCAGAAACCTAACATAAAAAAGATAATTTAATTGTAAGTACCTTTTTCCGTAGTTGATGTGGAACAGATTCTAACTAGACAACAGCTTCTCAGTCAGACTATTAGGACACAGGACCCAGTTGACAGTTTCAAGTACACACGCCTCCAATACTTTATAGAAATTATAGAAATAAGTAAGCGTTTAATGTAGTAGATCTATCCTTTTGGTATTTCCCCGTTAACGAAGCATTCGCACTAGGTGTACCCTAAGTTGAAACATCAGAAAAATCAACTTTTTATCCTGTATTGCCCAGAGGCATAATTACAAAATGCTTGATAACTATAGAACCACGGTTCTATTAGATTATGCAACACGCAGAACACACTGTCTTATCACAACCAAAGATAATCGACAGGTTTGCTAAACTCACACAAAATGTATGACCCCTGAACTGAACGTTTTCTTTGTTTTATATTCTGTAGCGACCGACAAAATCATGTTCCTGTCGTGGTTACATCGACATTGATGGGATAAGAATCATTCCTCTAATCATTAAAACGAAGCTCTGTTTGAAGCAGCTACATTACTCACTATCCCAGCCAAAATTAATTTTTATATATTCTTCTAAATAAACTTCTATTGCACATCGAATCTCCGGGGTATGCTGTGGGTTTTTTTAAAACATTAAGACAAAGTCTGTGTTTCGATCGACATATCTCTTTGTGTACAGTCTGACACCTCGGAGATCTGAGGACAAGAACAAATTGGGTAGCGTCGTGGCGAAATGAGGTGCTCGTCAAAATAATAATAATGAAACCGACATTTTTTTTCCCCCATTGGATAATGTTTTTTCGATTTTTGTTTATTTATTTATTTTTTGGCTCAACACCTTTTATATTCATTTATAAACATATTTTTATAAAAGATGTAAATTTGCAAGTTTCCAAGGACACCCAAACTTTGGAAATCATCAAACTTTGGTGGGCATTTTCTCACTATTTTTGCCTTTGATACAAGGCGAACCCACCTAGCTCCGTCAATTGCATGTATCTGGACCACTCTTCTTTTACACACAAGACAAAGGAACAAGCTTTAAATACTCAAAACAATGACGAGTGCTTGATTCCACCGCGTAGCTGCATTATTTTAGATCAGAGTTTTTGCCAGACCTATTTCCAATTCGGCAAAATTTGTGACAATTTGTGAACCCTTTTCAACAAAGAATTATCTGGAAACTGTAGGCTTCTATCAAATTACGATTTATTTACAGGATAGACCTGTTGAGTGGAATATCTGTAGTAAAATGAATTAAAGATAGTAATAATAATTATACGCACCCTCGTTATAGAGCAGTGAATCTTTCTTGTTGAAAAGTTCTTAAATTAGGTTTTTTTCACTAACGAGATGTTTACTATGTTGTTATCTAGAATGTATCTTCCAAAATTGCACACCCCCAGCGTTCGCTAGCTTTAATTATAATTGATGTGTCTTTTTGTACGTCTGATGTCACGGAATGTTTAATCATTAGAGATGACTCAGCTATTAGATCACAAAACTCTTTATCAGGGCTCGTGTTTTCTTATTTTTACTAATATAGCTTAAGGGGCATGGTTGTTTTCCAACGTGCTGCCTTTCTGGGAGTGAGATAAGAAATGTATACCGTAGAGCATTTTATTCCTCAGCCAAAAGTCAGATTTTTTAAAGAAATCTTCATGATCAGCTGCTTATGGCAGATGCTATCGGATTAAGGGAAGACAGGTATGCTTTTTTCAAAATCTGTTATACACAGTCTTAGCAATCATTTAAGGGCATTATATGACGTTGGGGGTCTTGTACATTATTCAGGTGGTCAGATGTACTTTAATTATGCGCTGCGGGCAAATTTTTACACTTTTGGGTGTCACGACCCCCTATAAAGCGGTATTTTAGTGCAGGCGTAATTTTCTTATCTATAAAGCTACAGAGTTAATATTTTCATAGAATAAACTCAATATAGTTAGTTGCAATCTGTTAGAGGATTTTTTTAATATCGTGTATAATGAGCGAGATATCCTGGATTTTAACACATGACTTGCTAAAACACCGAAATTTTCCTTAAAATCACTCCCTCTGATGCATATAGAAACTAGTAATATCAATAATATTTCATAAATAAAAAAAGCCTCTAACGGGTTGCAACTACGCCAATTGCCCACACTGAGGCCAAATTTCAAGGGAATCCTATTAACAGCCTCCGAAATCTCGCTGCATTAAAACCCCATACCCCTATCGTGTTTCAGAGAAAACGCAAAAAAACGCAACGCAAAATAAAAAAATGCGTTCGCATTGTTGTTACTTTTTTACAAAGGCAGACAGATCAATGTAACGTTCGTCTTTTTCCATTATCTACCACTGCACTATACTGATCACCCAGTTTGGAATGGATCTATGTAAAATGAAATAAGAATACAGTTCGGAATGATGAGATAATAATACCATTTGTTTCTAGAGAATAGCACAAGGAAAGGGGAACAAAGTTATCCCAAAGCCTGAAACAGGGCAATCATAGTCATACTTTGTCAGAATAGTAAAGCGATAAGATAAACATTTTAAAACACTGAAGTGCATTTCTGAACAGGGGGGATTTTCAGGATAAGATGTGTGTAAGTTGTGAGGTGTATTTTTTTCTTCCTAAAATCTAATTATTTCATCTTGAACTTCCACACAAAAGTAACCGGCTTTGACTCTAGACAGCGGTATCACTGAAACCAAACAAGAAGCCTCACTTCTTTTAGCTGAGGTAGGTGACTGGTAACATATCCGATAATGCCGACAGTTTAAACTTAAAATCCTATTCAGGTCCGATCACTTGTGCATAATTCGTATTGATTAGCAAAGCATTTTGCATTGCAAGCTGAAGACACGAGTTCGCTTTCGTATCAGAAAGATGATTTCATCGAGTATCTCCGCACTTGCTGTAACTTTTGGAACGAAAGAGCGTCCTAAAGTCTCGACAGCAGTGATAAAAGTAGGATGTCCAGCAGGAGTGGGACTGTCAGTGTCAGACAGGCATGGTCTATCATATTTTGGGTAAGAGCAAGCTTTTTTGTAAATAGTCTGTCTGTATGTTGCATTTTGGACGTTTACTCATTGTTGACACGTGAGGAACACATTGTGTTGTGGAATAAAAACAGTACCTTT